CCCAAAAGTCATGAAGATCATAGAAAATGGATCAGTTACACTGTTTATCCCTCTTGTGTGTGTTTTTTAGTTGTCTTTAAAAAAAAATAAAAAAATTTGTCCCTTTAGAGCAGGGGTCCTCAAACTTTTTAAACAGGGGGCCAGTTCACTGTCCCTCAGACCGTTGGAGGGCCGGACTATAGTTTAAAAAAAAACTATGAACAAATTCCTATGCACACTGCACATATCTTATTTTGAAGTAAAAAAACAAAACGGGAACAAATACAATATTTGTATTTGCATGTGGCCCGCGGGCCGTAGTTTGAGGACCCCTGCTTTAGAGCTTAGATTGTACTCATTACAGAAGGAATTGGTAACCATGCCAAGATGTCCAGTATACATAAAGGATTCTGTTTATTTTAAAATGCCTAATTTGTCAGCTTGACGAATAGCACAAATGATAAAATCCTTTAGCTCAGGGAGGAATTTAATGAAATTCATTTGTATAGGCCTTAGTACTGCGTGGGAACTATTTTTTGGATGAATCTGGCTTTCAGAAAAGAGAGTGTGTGTACAATAAAGGTGTGATAGTTTCTCTTAAAACAGAATGTGACCCATAGGCAGATGTAGGATCAAACCTATTAAGCGATACTTGCAGAAGGTGCTATTGTATGAATTCTGTTTTTTTAAGGATCTTTGAAATATAATTAACATAGACACAACTGCATTTGGTGTTCAACTGTTTGTGTAATGCCAGCAGGAAGTTCCATGTCATTACTTATTTGACAATATCTATAATTAAAAGATATGTATCTCCTGTTACAATGCGTTTTATAATTTGTTCATATCTTGAACTTCTTTCAGAGAACACTCTGCTTTTATTAAATCATGTAGTTTCAATAACTATAGGCCCCAGGAAAAAAAACAAAAAATATTAAATCTTGATATATGAGAATACTTTTCTTTCTCGTCGGAACCACTTTAATATTTAATTATAAGTACAGAGTTAAACCCAAATTAACTTTCAAATAAGAGAATTGGTCTTTTATATTAGAATTTTCAGTAACCACATTTTCACAGTCTTTTAATCATTGTCAAAGAAGCATTGTTCTTTTTTACTTTTATTATCGCAGGGAAAAAATTTATCCTTGAGATTTAAAGTAAATCATTTTACTAATAATTAAAATGGCAGGTAAACACTGAAAATTTTCTGCTGTGTACCAGTAAATACATGTTAACTTTTGTTAGAGATCTTTTTACCCAGAATACTTAACTATAATACCTGCCTCTGTTTGCTTTTCCAAAAAAAAAAAATCCTATTTTATCTACTGTTATATAACAAATGTTCCAAATCATTTATGCCATATTAACACTAATAAGCAATATTTATGAGAGCACTAATTCATGAATTCTCATAATCTTATATAACTGGTATTTTTATAGTCGGTATATCACTCATTCATTTCTTTGGCATTTATGTATTATTGAACATCAACAAGATGTTCTAAGCACAAGATGTATAGCATGAAGGAGGCAGAATATAAACAAATAAATAAATATGCCACATGTTGGATGACAGCCTTATGTAAAGTGGCAAGCAAAAAAGCCTGGTAACGGAAAAGAGGCCTACGGGAAGGAGAGAGACTATACCTTTATATCGGGATGATTAGAGATAACCTCGACAATCTGAGTCAAATCCGTAGAGAGGAGAAGGGAGCGAGCCAGCTGTGTGTGTGCCTAGGGAAAGCGCTCCCAGGCAGTGGAGACAGCCATGCAGAGGCCCCGAGGCAGCGCATACTTCATATGTTTGCAACCAGGAAGGAGGCCAGGATACCTAGTGTGACAGGACTCGCTGGAAGGGGCAGAGGTCAGAGAGTCAGTGTGGGGTAGGAGGATCATACAAAGTATCGTAGACCATTCTAAGGGCTTCGGCTTTTAAAATGACTGCTGCCGTTACAGAGAGATGACTGATGCTTGAAAAGGGTTCACAACAGTGTGTTGCCAATACTCGGACAAGAGACTAGAGGAGGGACCAAAGAGGCTGGCATCGTACTCAGGGGAGAGCTGGTGGCTGGAACCAGAGGGGAAGCGGTGGAAGTGGTGAGGGCTGGTCAGGTCTGGATGTGACTTGAATGTACAGCTGATAGACATTACTTTATAACTGAGTTTATGAACCTGTTATTTTAAGTCTCTTATTACCCTGAGTCTTCTTGATAAACAGTCATAAAATATAACTAGTTCATGTTTTCCTCAAGGCTTCTGCAATAACATATTTTGTAGTATCTGAAAGAGTACATTGTAGGACTTCCTTTTTAAGGTCTTTTTTAACAGACTCAATGACTCAATGATAGGTATTTAAAATTGTAGCAATTTTAAGTTATTTGCCTTTTAATACACATAACATAGAAAATGTCTGAAGTACATGTATTTAAAATAGTGCCGCCATTATTGCTTCTCAAACAAAGCTCCCATTTCCTAATGGGTCTTTAAAAATTGCTCTTTGTTCTTTTCTGTGCAAATGGAGGAGGGGGGAATAAGGCATGGACATTAAGAGCACTGGCTTTGAAATGCAGGAGTCCATGCTTTGGCACCCAGCTCTGTGACCTTGGGAAGTAGCCTAACCTGCCTGGACCTTAGCAGCCTCCTTCCTTGGAGACTACAGAAAGGGTTGCTGTGAGCATTTTTTGTTGTTCTGCATATAAAGCAGCTAGCACAGTACCAACCTCATATTTAAAAGTTTGTAATTGATAATTACTACATTTGTTTTGATGATAATGATGACAGGAAAGTACTGATTGACACAGGAAGTATTTGCATTTATTGGGAGGAATCATTTTAGAAGGAGCTGTTACCTTCAGGCTTGACTGCAGCGAAGTTGCCATTTATTCCCAACAATTTAGATACAGAACACCACTTTATATACCTAATATTCAGAATAAGAACATGTGAATAAGAGCAATTCCACAGCATTAAATGTTGTGTTTAATCAGTCAGATATGTTCCTAATTTAGTAATAAACTCAGTAAAATGATGACCCTTCACTGTGTATGACGGTCTGTATCTTGGTGAAGGTCGACATAAGTGACACTCCCTTGATTCACCTTTCTTGCTTTTCATTGCCCGAAGCCCTGACTCCACTCCAGGTAGGCAGTTGCCCCAGGGAAGTTCTCAGTGACAGGACCACGTGGCAGTCAGAGAGCAAAGCCAAGGGGCATGTCAGTGATCAGAACGAGTTCTTTGCTGTTTTCTATCAAGTTTGCGCAAGTGTGTTGAGTGAAATAACCACCTGCAACTTTGTGGAATGTGTTTTTATTGCTATATATTAGATAGCATAATGTAGTTATGGTTTTTGTTGGAATGTCAAAATTCCCAGATTAATGAGTAAAATAGAGCTCTCCGGTTGAACTTTTGTCATCATTGTCAGTATGTATCCATTCATAGGTTGCAGTCTGGGTTTTGTGTTATCATTTCCTCAATGAGAATTGGCTCTGAAGTAATATGTGAAAAAAAAATCCATTATCAAATTATAAAACCTTGGAGCTTGCTCATACTTAATTGCTTTATAATTTATAGACCAGACTTATTTTCTTCTTCCTAAAAATATTTGAAAGACCAATATTTTGCCATTAGTTTTTCTTTAGTGAACATTCAAATGCATTCTAATGGGGAAAATGTGATGTATTACTCTGATTATGTAGTGAAATAATTGATCTTTCCCTACAGAATAAATCAGGGGTCCTCAATCTTTTTAAACAGGGGGCCAGGCCAGTTCACTGTCCCTCAGACCATTGGAGGGCCGGACTATAGATTAAAAAAAAACTATGAACAAATTCCTATGCACACTGCACATATCTTATTTTGAAGTAAAAAACCAAAACAGGAACAAATACAGTATTTTTATTTGCATGTGGCCCGCGGGCCGTAGTTTGAGGACCCCTGGAATAAATTCTAAATCCATAATTGTAAGAAATATTTTCAAAACATAAATCATAGCAGCACATGAGTTTCTGAAATAAATTATTTACTCTACATTGGAAAAAAACTTGAAACTTAAATGATGCTTTGATATAAATAAAAGGTCTTTATGTCAGTGAGATGCAGGTATAGCTTTAAAATTTAATTGCTTTTTATCCTAATTGACTAGTTTACAAGAATCTCTCTCACACACACACACACACACACACACACACACATATATATATATATATATATATATATATATATATATATGGAATGTCAAATAAAAATCTCATTGGAAAGTTATTTTAAGCATTTGTTTTTCATAGTTCTTGTTTCTACCTATTTTCACAAAAACATTAAAATTAGTAAATTGGAATGAAATGCATAAATCTTTTGGAAATTAAAATATAATTTTTAGAAAAATGAACTAATGGGGAATAAATTATTGGTGTTATTAAATGCAAAAAAATTTATTTTGTTGAAATATATAGATGTTGTAATGTATATGAGATTACTATACCTTTTCTCTGTATTCCCAAATAGCAATTAAAATTTATGTTTTCATATTTTTGCAATATACCAGATAC